AATGGGACTTAGTCTCTGCAGCTGAAATAAGGCTGAAAAAAACGGCTGAAAAAAAGACTAAGTCCCATCGCCGAATGGGACTTAGTCTCTGCAGCTGAAATAATTTCCCATTTACTGAACCAAGTGGGAAATAGCAAGGCAGGCACAAAGGGTTTGCACCAGGTCTGGGGACACAGGGGACACCGTCTTAAAGGGGCCGTGTCCCCAACAAGTCTGGGGACACGGCCTTAAAGGGGCAGTGTCCCAATCTTCCTGATGTCCCAAAAAAGGTGTTTAAAGGGCCAGCACCAGTCACATAAAGAGTCCATAAGCCCCAATATGCCCACCGACAGTCTTAAAGGGCCATACACACCAAATAAAAGTGCATACATTTTCACAATCTCCCAGGGGCCATAGTCATGCGGGAGGAGGCTGGCAAAGAGGCTTCTCCACAACCCAGGGAAACAGGGCAATTTGCCATTTAAAGGGCCCGTTACAAATAGCAGTTTGTAACAAGGTGTCAATCCATATCTGCCAAGTGACCCGATGTAGGGGGAACAGTCCCTATTCTGCTCTGTGTCAGTGTGTATCAGGGGCTCTGAGGACAGGTGTCAATCCATATGTCAAGGTGTCAATATGTCATATGTCAGGTGTCAATCCATATTGATTGTGATTTAGGAATGTTAGGTGATTTCTGCCCTTTATGGATTAAAACCAGACTCTGTATCAACTGTGTAATTTTCCATGGGAGTTTTGCCATGGATCCCCCTCCGGCATGCCACAGTCCAGGTGTTAGTCCCCTTGAAACAACTTTTCCATCCCTATTGTGGCCAGAAAGAGTCCCTGTGTGTTTTAAAATTCGCCTCCCCATTGAAGTCAATGGCGTTTCGGGCGGTTCGCCGGTTCGCGAACATTTGCGGAAGTTCGCGTTCGCCGTTCGCGAACCGAAAATTTCGGGTTCGCGACATCACTATTCACAGCCTTAGTAAGCATAGTTTTTAACTCAGCCTGGAACGCTTTTGTAGGATCTTTTGCTAGTATGCGGTAAGTATTTTTATCGGATAAAAGTCTTTCAGCTATACGAATGTAGTGGTCTCTGTCAAGTATCACCACATTGCCCCCTTTATCAGAGGGTTTGAAAATCAAATTTGTATAGCTCTGTAGTTTTTTCAGGGCTATTAGTTCCTGAGTATTAAGGTTGCCATTAGGGGATAGATAAAAATCATCCATTTTTGTCTTATCTATTTCCCTAGTAACCATTTCCAAAAATACCTCCAAATTTTTATAATCCTGAAAATGAGGGGTAAACTTACTCTTGGGTTTCAAATTAGTATGTGGTATATCAGATTGTATAGTACCATCTCCAGAGTTAAGTAATTCCACCAGAGTGTCTAAGCACTCCAAGTCATTTGGTGATAGACCCAAGCTTTGGGCCTTAGTTTCTTTACGTACTGCATGGTATTTATACAAGGCAAGCTTTCTCACAAAAAGGTTTACATCCTTAGTCCAGTTGAACTTGCTGAATGTTGGAATGGGTACGAATGAAAGACCCTTCTCCAATACGCTAAGTTCGGTCTGACCAAGGATGGTATCAGAGAGATTAATAATACGCAGAGAGGATGCTATCATTCCCTGCGTCGTCTCTGACTTCTGCCCCTGTATCTGGTGTGTGGACCCTGAGTTAGATCCGCTTGTCTTAATCCTAAAAAATCCACCCCCTTTTTTAGAATACTTTTAGTTGGATTCCTAGGAGTAGGGGTTTGAGGTTTTTCAGTTTCAGTATCGGTTGATTCGTACTCAGATGTTCTGAATTGGTCAGAGTCTACTTTAGATCTCTTTTTAAAAGAACGGTAAATTCTACCTTGTTCAAAGTCCTTTGTATCTCTCATATACTTCTGGTGTTTCCTCACTTTTATAATGTGAGAGAATTTGTCCAGATTGGATTTGAGTTTTATCTCTAGTGATTCAAATTGTGGTTCTACTTTAAAACCCTGGACCACCTCAATCTCTTTATCCAGTTCTAGTTGGACATTGGATAGTTTAATAGACTCATATTTACAAATAATACTCATGAACGTATTTGAGCATTTAGTAGCTGCCTCATCCCATTCTTTATAGAAGTCTTCCATCTCGACTTGTCTTGATGGAGAGGTCTGAACTCTTAGCCCTCTAGGGATGATATTTTTAGAAATGTATTTCTCGAGAGTGGAGACTTCCCAGCTTATCTTAATTTGTTGTTTAAAGAGTTTAGTAAGCTTATTAAAGCTGGTGTGAATATTAGAGGGAGACAGTGTATCTAGTGTACTTTCAGTACTGAACACAGAATCAGCGTCCGCACACCATGTACTTGCGCTGGGTTTTTTAGACAGAAAGCCTGCCATTGTAGTTTGGAAAAAAGGTTATAAAAACTGATAATAGTAATGGTGGTGACCACACGGTGAGTAACACCAATATAATTAAATAACAAGAAAAAGGAAACTCAAAAGGCTGGAAAGTGGGAGGGGAGGAAAAGACACTCCCGTATCCCACTGCCGAGCCTCCAGAGTATAGAGGTCACCTGGACTGGTAAAAGGGGGTAACCCTGGAAATTGTAGAAAAAAAGAAGAAAAAACCCCAAAAAGGGATTTAGATAACTAAATAACAATTTAAAAAGAACATATTTTCCCCAAAGTTTGGATGTACCCCAAATAGTTGGGGTACAGGCATAAATTCAGTATCCCCAGATAGCTTGTTTCTGGGGGACTAACATTTAAAAATCAGCCCATTCGGTTCAGCCGTTCGGGAGATATGGGACTTAGAAGTTTTGACCGACCACACGGGCACAGTAGCCGAAAACAGTTCCATGAACGCTGGCCCTGCAGTCGGTCTAAGATCGTGGGTAAAAACTCCCGAACGGCCGGCCATCCATATGCCATCCTGAGTTCACTGAAATCCCCATCCGTTGTTGAGTCTTTCCACCGAATGCCTGGTCGTTCGGTAGTTTTGGCAAGGTTTTCCCGAAGGTATGGCAGTCTTAGCAGTGTTCGCCTATTTGAGTGTCCGATTTTAGTTCCAAACACTCAACGGCAAACACAGCTGTTCGGGAGTTAAAATGGCCGCGAACACGTGGAAGTCCCGAAATGGCGGCTTACAGCTCCCATAGCGTTCGTGCGGTTTTTCAACGAGAAATGCCCATCAAGCAGGGAGGTAAATTAGTCTCAATTAACAGTCAGGGTGGCCTGTTAGAGGTAGGTAAGCATTCGCATGGAGAATGCTTGCAAAGTCTCGAACTGCATTGTAATCCATAAGTCTTTTCAGGCAAACTGTTCTTTTTGTTACAGCGACCACACAGATACATACAAAGTAACGATTTCACGGTCAATTAGTTTGCAGTTACAGAGTGTGAAAAGCTTAATGAGGTGCACACTTCTCGCTGGGGTCGTCTGATGGTCCGGTATTTTCATTCGTATGAAAAATGGAATGAAAACTACCGAACAATCAGACGAAAGCTACACACAATACTGCTATACATGGGAATAATTACACAAACTCCATTTTTAACACAAATTCTTGAGGACAGCCTAATGCCATCTGCTACACCTCCCCCACAAGCCGGCATACCCATTTTGATCCAACACGGATCGGCTTGGGAATATCCGGGTGGCTCACGGATAATTTTTTCAAAGTCTGTTTGTCTAGACAACCCGTCAGCGTTTCCATTTTGTTTTCCCGGATGGTACTGAATGTTAAAGTCAAGGGGCTGCAGTGCCAAACTCCAACGCAGCAGCCTGGCATTGTCCCCAGCCATCCGGTTGAGCCATACTAACGGGTTGTGATCCGGGAGCAAGGAAAAGGGCTGTCCATATAAATACGGCTGCAATTTCTTCAGGTCCCACACCACAGCCAGGCATTCTTTTTCGATGGCGGCGTAGCTTACTTCTCTGGGTAACAACTTGCGACTGATGTAAGCCATGGGATGTTCTCCGCCATCGGCCCTGACTTGGCTCAGCACTGCCCCAATCCAAACATAGAAGCGTCTGTGTGAACAAGAAAATGTTTAATTGGGTTATGAGCTGCCAGGACAGGGGCATTTATCAGTGCATTTTTCAGGTGTTGGAATGCCTGCTCACACTCCGGGTCCAGGTTATTTGGCGGGGAAGGTTCTTGCGGGTAAGGTCGGTAAGGGGTTTTGCCAGAGTGCTATAATTGGGCACAAACCTTCTATAGTACCCTGCTGTCCCGAGAAAAGCTAGTACCCGAGTCTTAGTCCTGGGGGTAGGCCATTGGGCTACGGCCTCTATTTTGGCTGGTTCTGGTTTCTGCTTCCCACAGCCCACTCGATTTCCCAGGTATTGTACCTCGGCCATCCCTATACTACATTTGGCCAATTTTAACGTCAAACCGGTGTCCCTAATCCTGTCTAGAAC